GGTTGATAGCTTAATATGTTTACGACGTTCGGATAAGAGTTCCCATCCCGTCTCAATGTAAAGCGATTCTCTTGATGCGTATACAGGTAGGCCGGTAACTACTCGAGCTGCAAGTAACTGAACTCTTTCAAGTTTTTCAGAGTCTTGTTGAGAACACCCATCCCAGACTACCGATGCGTACTCCAATAAGGGACGAATATATGTTTTATAAAGAACAGATAAAGAATATCTAGACACTGAATATTTAAGTTTTTTGAGTAATACTAGTTTTTTGTATGCTGACTTGGCAATACAGTCAATATGGTATGACCATCTGCCATCACTGGAGAAATTAAGACCTAGATGTTTATGATGTTGAACGAATGGTAAAGTAATGTTTTGAAATACAATATCAGGTAATGTAGTATTTCGTCTTTTTGAAATAAAGATCATATTTGTTTTTTCTGCATTGAATTTCATTAACCATTTCTTTGACCAATTTTCCAAAATAGATAGATCATGATTTATACAAGTTTCCATCTCTCCGGTGGTTGCAGATGATTTACCCAAGGATGTGTCATCAGCGAATAATCTGCTTATACTTATCATATTTTCAGCAATATCATTTACATATATAAGAAATAAGAGAGGACCCAGTACTGACCCTTGGGGCAGAAATTGTTGAAGGACGGATGTAGGACAGGTGATGGACAGGTGATGGACACCAGGGTATGGCATATGCATGCTCACCTTTGGACCAGGTAAGCTAATAACAAATGCATATTTAAACATTTAAACATATTTTATTGATTTAATCAAATGGATTGGGCACAAGTTATAACACCTTATAGGAGAGGGCTTCTATAGGGTGTTATAACTTGTGCCCAATCCATTTGATTATATCAATAAAATATGTTTAAATCAACAAATGCAGATAACAATGCTTTGCATTTGCTTCAATTTTATGATTTGTATCTTATTTTAAAGAAAACATACTCACAATACTCTGTAACTTATCATCTGTATATATTATATGTTGTACAGGGCCATATTGTAAACTAGACAAACATCTAAATGTGTTACCCTGTCTAAATAAAGAGAGGATCTTACATGAGTGTTCATGTCATATTGAAATTTATCAAACAAGTTCAATAATTTGACACAAATGTATAATTTAATTTATTGAACTAGATTAATCAATTCAATATGACATTTATACGAATGTAAGAATCTATTTATGACACAACATTTCATAATCTGAAAAAAAAAAATTTAAACACAATAATGTGTTGTCAGCTGTCTCTATATAAGTAACAAGAGGCCCATGGGCCTTAACGGTCACCTGAGTCTACAGTATTTTTTTTTTTTTTTTTGAAATATGTACCAATTTGAGTAAAAAATAGTATAATGTTAACTTAACTTTGTCAGGACCATGAGCTGATCATTCCTAGACCAATTTTAAGTGAGATCGGCCTATTAGAACTAAGTAGCAAAATAGCGGCCATGGCAGCCAAATTGTATTTCTGATTGACCCGAAAAATAACAACACTTTGTCAGGACCATGAGGCGATCATTCCTACCAACTTTCAGTTCAATCGGTCCAGCAGAACTTGACTTTAAGTTTGAAATAGGTTTTCAAAATGGCGGCCGTGGCGGCCATATTGGATTTCTGATCGACCCGAAAAATAACAACACTTTGTCAGGACCATGAGGCGATCATTCCTACCAACTTTCAGTTCAATCGGTCCAGCAGAACTTGACTTTAAGTTTGAAATAGGTTTTCAAAATGGCGGCCGTGGCGGCCATATTGGATTTCTGATCGACCCGAAAAATAACAACACTTTGTCAGGACCATGAGGCGATCATTCCTACCAACTTTCAGTTCAATCGGTCCAGCAGAACTTGACTTTAAGTTTGAAATAGGTTTTCAAAATGGCGGCCGTGGCGGCCATATTGGATTTCTGATCGACCCGAAAAATAACAACACTTTGTCAGGACCATGAGGCGATCATTCCTACCAACTTTCAGTTCAATCGGTCCAGCAGAACTTGACTTTAAGTTTGAAATAGGTTTTCAAAATGGCGGCCGTGGCGGCCATATTGGATTTCTGATCGACCCGAAAAATAACAACACTTTGTCAGGACCATGAGGCGATCATTCCTACCAACTTTCAGTTCAATCGGCCCAGCAGAACTTGACTTTAAGTTTGAAATGTAAAATGTTAACGGACGACGGACGACGGACGACGGACGACGGACGACGGACGACGACGGACGAAAACGGATAGCAATAGGTCACTTGAGCTAAAGCTCAGGTGACCTAAAAATCACACTCAAGGATTCTGTGACTATTTCCGGAAATGAAAAAATGGACGGACGGACAGATGGTGGACGAACATAGTAATTACAATAGAACACATGCACATCTCACGTGGGGCCATAACTTTTGTTTGTTAATTTGTCTGCTTGTTTATTTTTAACAACCAATCGACAACTGTGGTCAGTTAGGGCCATGGTATTTGTTTTTAAACATTCATTATGTGAGTAACGTAGATAAAATCAGATAAAATTAATATTTTTAAAAGCAAAAGCATGGTAAAATGAAATGATAAAAGTTATAGAGATAATGAATAGAGTGTATGGAATATGTGATGTATAAATAACGTCAAAGAGGGTGAGGTGGGTTAAAAGACATAAGAGGCTATACAATAGACGGATGTCCTTCAAAAAGTAAAAAAAAATGTGGGACCATATACAGATACTTTTACTGCAACATATTAGTTTAGCAAAATATAGGTCGCTGTTATAAACGTAAGCTATGTTGTATTAAAATGTGCCTATTACACGTTTCACAATCATGGTATGTGTATTTACCATCATAGACGACCAGTTCACACTTGTTGTGCAATCCCTCGCCAACTGTTCCAGAGAGAAGACTATTTAGGGTATCACAAAAGCGCTTACTTTCCTCCACCATTGATGCCGAGTTGATACCTGCTACATTACATGTATTCATCTCACTCAGACAACGCAAGGGGGAAGGGTATTGGCCTACGAAATAGTGGACCTGTAAGATAAAATCGTCAATGTACTTCGTCATTACTCCCGAAAATGCTCACGTCTTTTTTGCGTTGAAAATTATTCACACAATTAATTTATACAAACATCTGTTTTTAGAAATTTGAATTATCGAGTTCGACAGTATAGATTTTGAATAATTTGCTTCTCTGTGCAAACATTACTCCTGTGCTCAAAATACACTGCCTTTGCTACAGAAATGCACTTGATAAGACAAATAAATAAACAAGAAAAAGAACATTTAAAGCATGTCTCGTAAAGAAGCACACATAAGATAAACGGTTATTATTTAAATGAATAAAATGTTTTTACCTTCGGTTGGATATGGTCGTCATCTTCAATACTGTATATATCTAAGCTTTTGATGATGTTTGCTCCGCCTTGGACGTCTTTTATTGATGTGAAGGAATAGACATGTTCCACATGATTAGCGTCGATCTTGCCTGGGCACTTGCATGTCTTTGGTACCAGAAGGTAAAGCTTGTCGGGGCAAACACATATATTCCTTTCCTTTGATCTAAGCACCATTTGAAGATGCGCTCCTAGCACTGAGAAAAATATTTGACACGTAATACTTTTGAGTTCATTTTGACGAACACTAGAACTGTAGGTCAAAGGCTAACTAATGCCCCACTCCTATATAAACCAGAACTATAAGCTAAAGGCTTTATAAGGCAAAGCAATGCAAAGCACTGTCCCAACCTCACTACAACGTTCATACTCAAAACATAATAATTATAGTCCCACCAGTAATGATTTCTTTATTGACTGAGCTGTACACTTATTAAAGTGTATAGGTCACTGACATACTTCCTGTACTCTCACCCAATGCCAAAACATAGATTAAATGGACCCTTTCAAAAGGGTCGGAATGAACAAGTACTACTTGGATGCACAAAGTCATGGAGGAGTTACCAAATCTAAACTTTCTTTAAAATTGGCTCATTAGATTAGAAGTTGCTAGGACATGGATTTTTCAACAACTGGCCATAACTCCATAAAAAGAGTGAAAAAGAAATACCTGGATGCACAACATCAGGGGGTAGTTATCCTATCTGAAAACTTCCATTGAAGTTGGCCCTATAATTTTGGAGGAGTTGTCTGGACAAGTATTTTTTAACAATTACTCCGTAAAAAAGGGTCAGATTGAAAAAAATAATACCTGGATTCAGAACAACAGGTTATAGTTATCAAATCAAAAAACTTTCAATGAAATTGGCCCAGCAGTTTGGACAAGTTATCCGGGTAAGTATTTTTTAAACAAAGGGTCCGAATGCAAAAAAATACCGCGAGGCACAACTTCAGGTGGTACAATTGTAGTTATCATATCTATAAACGTTCGTTGAAATCGATCCATAACTTTAGAAGGAGTTATCCAGACAAAAAGTTTCAGGAATTTTTAAACAAAGGTAAAAAAAGTGTCCGAATGAAAAACAGTACATGGATGCACAACCTCAGTAGGTAGTTATCATATCTGGAAAATTTCGTCGAAATCGGTCCATTGCTTTAGAAGTTTTCCGGACAAACCTTTACGGACGGATGGATGGACGGACGGACAAGCTGATTCCAGTATACACCCTAACTTCGCTGCGGGGGGAATATAAATATGCTTGATACGGTCAAAGTATCGAGATATGGAATGTATCCCCAAAAGAGAGCTGCTCCTTCATTTTTGACAGTAGAATAATGGATATTTGAGCTACACATAGCAACAGAATCCCGTTAAAACCAAAAAGTAAGAAACTACAAAGAGCTCTGCAAATGAATGCTACTTATTATAAAGATAATATTTGCTTATGTTTGTTTTAATTATTGCCTGACTGCCATTTTCAACTCACGTGGAAGAATAATTTTCAGGTAGTTGACAACATAACCCCATGCTAGACCGTAGCCAAGGTTTCCAGCAGGAATATGATTTGCGTTCAAAGCCATCGGAATGTTCTCTCCTGAAAAACAGATGTTATTTAGGTTCACGCCAAAGTTCGAGCAAGGTTAATATTATCAAAATTAAAAATCGTTACGAAACTATGTAAAGCAAATACAAACACAAAAAAACATAACGACTAGAAATGTTAAGAAATGAAGCATCTATTTGAAAATATGGCAGATGCAGAAATTAAAACGAAGTAGATATGTTTCTGCATCAGATGACCAATTAGTCAATGTAAGTCTCATCAGTGGTACTAAAGTCGAAAATAATGAAAAATTCACGTCACAATTGTTCAGAAACATATATAGAATACAGCGAAACGTGCATATAAAACTTTGTAATGTTACAAATTTACAAATGTTTGCCGAATTTTGACTTAAACTTGTATTGAAAACTGCGCCAAAACGAATTCCAGCTAAAACAAGGATAGAGCCAATCACGGGGGCTGATATACCAACAGCAGAGTCATCCACCTTGTTAGGTCAAACAAACCTGACATATGAAGAAATGGAGCGGTGGTCTTTTATATTTTGTTTGAAAATGCAGAAAGCCAAACAAAGTAAACATTTCGCTGCACCATATGGTCATCATCAACGTTAACTCATCACTAACGTAAACTCATTATTAACGTTAACTCATCACTGACGTTAACTCATCACTAACGTAAAGTCATCACTAACGTTAAGTCATTACTAACGTAAACTCATCACTAACGTAAACTCACCACTGACATAAACTCATCACTAACGTAAACTCTCATCACTAAATTTAAATCATCACTTACGTTAACTCGCATCATTAACGTAAACTCATCCGAATGTCAGTTTGAGAATAAAGAAGTTATTTAAAACAGCAAACTGATAGAATGATGTCTTGGATGGTCGGATGGCGCAGTGGATAGCGCACTTGCCTTTAACCGATGCGGCCAGGGTTCGATTCCCCGATCGGACGAAAAAAAGGTATTGATTCACCTGCCGGACCACGTGGATTTTTCTACGGGTACTCCAGTTTCCTTCTTCATAAAGACCCTTTATCCGGACCATCAATAGTGATTTATAAAGTGGAAATAACTTGGTTCCCAATTTTCGTGGGATCCAAATTTCGTGGTTTCTCGACAAAACACCATTTCGTCGGTATATGAATTTGTGGATAACCAGTATCCACTAAAATGGGGAATAGAATTAAGTCAAACTTATAATTACTTCGTTAAGCTATGAATGTTTTATAAAAACTACGTAGGAAAGCAGCGAAATTACAAACCCCAAGAAAACATATGATTTCACAGTATATAAATGTATCAACCTACCTTTCAAGGCTTGATAAACTCTCTCCTCATATCCTTGTGTCTGCATGTCAATATATGTCACCCATTTAAGTAGATCAGGAATATTTCCACCCTCAGATATGCTGTCGATGACGGGGATGATCCGAACTTTCCCACTGTTGACGCATTCTGATAGCATACTCATTGTTTGCATCTTGAACACAGGGTTATTGCTGATGCCGGCTTTGGTAATAATCAAAATCAGCCACCGTACCTTTTCGAACGTCACTGTAAGAGTTGTAAAATAAATAAATATTAAAACAAAACGTATATATTGGCCTTATAAGCGTGATAGTTTTGCATTCCATTTGCTGAATCCAATACACGTGATCAGTTCTCTAAAAAAAAAAGATTTATTTTAGAGTAATCGTCTATTTTGTTTACCCAATGAACTGTCTATTTGACAAGTAAATATATACAAGCACGTGAAAGGCTGATATTACGATTCGTTATCCTTTAACATTAATATAGTTTTTACTTGTACGACTGAGTCTGATCCACTGTTGGAATCTGAACATGCGTTAAATGGGACAGTAAACCTAGCATCGAAAAAAAAAATAAGAATTTTAAATCTGCGTTTATTTTAATAAATGAGACATATAATAAAAACAGTTATGGACTTTTGTGTGGCACACATGATGCGACATGAACCTAAAAAAATCATAGCGAATCCCTTTTAATTTAATTTGTAAAGCCAGACAACATTTTTTAATTCTTAGTTCGTCAAATTTTATTTAATTCTGATAAAAACAAAATAATTTTGCACAAAACACAGCATTGCGGAGTAACTTCATCGCAAAGGAATTTCGACAAATTTGAAGTTAATATTACAAATACTGTGCCAAACATTGCGGTATACGACGTCATCACTTTTTGTTTTTGTTAGTGTTTTTTTAAGGTTTTACACGACAGCCTGAAAAAGTCTACCATTTGGGCGAAAAGCCAAAATTAAACAATATATGTCAATCGACTTTTAAATGAAATGTTTACCTTCGAACTCCGATGTCCCTGACTGATTTGGAAAGAGGCTTACATTTCTATCTCCTAAATATGTTTCTAAGTCTCGGCTTTTCAGACAGGAGGCTTGATCGTCACTGTTGTAGAGGATTGCGGCATCAAATTCCTTTTTCTTCATACCATCCTCTTCTAATGTTATATGTATTTTCTCTATATCTTTTGCTGGTGTGTCAAAAGGTGCGCTCTGAAATTAGTCAACAAAATTACTTGTTTATATAGGTCAAGAACTATGCTACAATAGTTATTGGACACATCAATTTCCGATCAAAAAGTAAATGCAATATACAGTATACCTCATATCGCCAGTCTTCAGCTTCCTATTAAAACATCTTCCTACATTTTGGCAAGAATAATCACCTCTTTGAAGAAATAACAGGAAACTGTTGGAGTATTAACAAAGCCGCGTAAGGATAACATGTGAGCAGTGTTGTAAGCCACAATAATGAATCTCAAATACACATTACAGCAAATTACATCTCTAAACCATCCTCGATACTTCAGGGGTTACGCCGACTTTAGCTCTCTACAACCCTTGAACATGTCGTATCAAAATCTAAGGCTCAGTGTTTATCACCTTATGGATGAGAAAAGAAGACTGGTTTGATCCTTTGACTGACTTTTAAGTCGGGTGTCGCTCCTCTTTAATCTTCTAGTGTTTGGTCAGATTTTTTTTTTTTTTTTTTTTTTTTATCTCAGACCAATAAAATAGCTAGCCGGGTGCTTTCAATTTTGCTATGACATATTCCAGGGGTGCAGAGAGCGAAAACGAGTGTAGCCCCCGGATATCGAGGATGTGTCTTAACAAAAAATCCTCAAACCTGAACATCTTTCTTGATTGCTTTTAACAAGACATCCGTGGCGTCTTCAACAGAATCTGAAATAAATAAGGAGAAATTGTAACCAAATGTTTCTTTTTAATACAAAATTGCTCTGCTTTTGATAAAAAAATATATAAGTTAAAGTGAATTAATTCATTTTTAACGGTTTTGGAACTTTCTTATTTCGATATTCAACTAATCATTTCACGTCTGTTAGATAATTACCGTCAAAGAACAGGAGCCTAGTCTGGTTACGACATCCATTATCTTTTGAGTGTTGGATAATGGCGTGCAGTGTATAATAGAACCTAGCCACCTGCAGCATCTTGTGGTGTGCGTCCATGTCAACAGCGTGAGATAACTCCATTTTTCGAATGGCACCGAGTACGCTAGGGTACTGCGCAACGCAGTAGTACTTCTATCAAAACAGAAATGCAAAACCATACACAAGTTTCAAGGCTGTAAGATTTCTAGATGAAATTATCCCGGTTCATATAATTATACATGTTTATGCATACTCAATTCTAGCTAGTGTATAAGGAAAAATACATTTATCTCCAATGAACTTCCATATAAGGTAAACGGTGTATATAGAACGTGTATTATATAATATACGAATAAGAAAAAAGTTGACCAACTGACTGATGTGTTTAAGACCAATGTCACAAGGTACATGTACTTATATAAAGAGGTCGATTGAAAGGTTGTAAACTATTTTAAGAACTCAAGGGGATTTACGATACTATTTCTCCATACAAAAAAAAAATCCCGTTTATAATGAGACCAAAGGGAACTGCGAAATTATTTCTTGATGCAGTAATTATTTTTATAATAAACCAGAATCACAATATTAGTTCTTCAGTATAAAGAAACGTTTATACTAAACACGAAGGGAACTACGGAATTAGTTCTCTGTACTATAAAACAGGTTTAAACCCCAGATTAACTACAATATTGGTTCTTTATAATTTTAAAAATCTTTTATAAACTTAACCCGTTGAGATCTACGAAATTAGTTCTCTATAAAGTACCGCGTAACAGCGAACCCATGGGGAACGAATTACTTGTTTCTCTACAAAACATGACGATAACAAACTTTAGGCGAACTATGTAATTACATGCAATTATCTTTAAAGTAAAAATAGGTGTATAACGAACTTCGAGAGAACAACAAAACGTGTTCTCGGTGTATTCAACGTATACTTCAGATATGTAATAATGTGTTACCTCTCCTCCGTCTTGAATACAGTACACATTCAGTCTGTAAGGTCGCTTCACGTTGCCACCAATATCTACAAGTATTGGTTCGAGTTGTCCTACTTCCTTCATATTCCTAGCATGTATTGCCCTTGGAATGTCACAGCTTTTTGGAATCAATTCGTACACAACAATCGGCATATTCTTGTTTTTTTCCTCATACCATTTACTCTGTCTTATTCTCCCGGCAAGGTCTATGAACGAAATACGAATAATGTAGTTAATGTTTTCACATTCGAATATCATATTGTACACATTTACATTGAAAACAAATGAAACATCAGCATTTCTCTGGATCAATCATAACACGATGAAGGTCGTAGCTCTCCATCGTGAAGACATAAGTCGTGTATTTAACAAATGACCATAACTGAAAAGTTCTCTACATTTTGAAGTGTATATCTTTTATTGTTAAAATTGTGTTTCGGAAAATAATCATTGCCAAATTGGTGAAATAATACATGACATAAATAACGTATTTCTCCTAATTATTATTTAACAAGATGCTCCTTAACTCTAACTAGCATTGGTTTATTTTCAAACCTTTAGACTTCGAACATTAGCTCTTCCTTACTAACATTATACGGTCTTGCGTTGCGGAACTTGAGTTGTGATCGATTATGTCGTTTTACAGATGAGGAGTCAGGCAGCGCAGGGATTTATATTGGAGATGAAAAGTTTGTAAATTGTCAAGTCCAAATCACACAGCTACTCTAAGATTGCAATATTGTTATCGTGATACTTACGAGGGTGTATCACGTGGTGGTACCCAAAATAATGAGACCAGGCCTGGGCATGGGCAACGTTACCGACCGGCAACTCACACGTAATCAATTTTCCCACTGAAATTTAAACATGACATCAAAAAACACAAATACACCCATTCTAGTCAATCATAAGTCACAAAACAGACATTCTCTACCTGGCTGACACAAGAATAAGACCAATGACAAATTTAAGACAAATAATCATAAGTACTAACCACACCTTTACATTTTCTACATGTCTCCTGACACAATAATGTGATGGGTCACTCTATACAATCCCTCCCTGCCTACTGACACCATAATGTGATGGTTACTCTTTACAATCCCTCCCTGACTCAGACACCATAGTGTGATGGTTACTCTTTACAATCCTTCCCTGCCTACTGACACCATAATGTGATGGTTACTCTTTACAATCTCTCCCTGTCTACTGACACCATAATGTGATGGCTTCTCTTTACAATCCCTCCCTGCCTACTGACACCATAATGGGATGGTTACTCTTTACAATCCCTCCCTGTCTACTGACACCATAATGTGATGGGTCACTCTTTCCAATCCCCCTGTCTACTGACACCATAATGTGATGGTCACTCTTTACAATCCCTCTCTGTCTACATAGTGTGATGGTTACTCTTTACAATCCCTCCCTGTCTACTGACACCATAATGTGATGGCTACTCTTTACAATCCCTCCCTGCCTACTGATACCATAATGTGATGGTCACTCTTTACAATCCCCCTATCTACTGACACCATAATGTGATGGGTCACTCTTTACAATCCCCCTGTCTACTGACCCCATAATGTGATGGTCACTCTTTACAATCCTTCTCTGTCTACTGACACCATCATGTGATGGTTAATCTTTAGAATCCCTCCCTGCCAACTGATACCATAATGTGATGGTCACTCTTTACGATCCCCCTGTCTACTGACACCATAATGTGATGGGTCACTCTTTTCAATCCCTCTCTGTCTACTGACACCATAATGTGATGGTCACTCTTTACAATCCCTCTCTGTCTACTGACACCATAATGTGATGGGTCACTCTTTACAATCCCCCTGTCTACTGACACCATAATGTGATGGTTAATCTTTAGAATCCCTCCCTGCCAACTGATACCATAATGTGATGGTCACTCTTTACAATCCCCCTGTCTACTGACACCATAATGTGATGGCACCATAATGTGATGGTCACTCATTACATTCCCTCGCTGTCTACTGACACCATAATGTGCTGGGTCACTCTTTACAATCCCCCTGTCTACTGACACCATAATGCGATGGCCACTCATTACATTCCCTCTCTGTCCACTGACACCATAATGTGATGGTTAATCTTTACATTCCCTCTCTGTCTACTGATACCATATTGTGATGGGTCACTTTTTACAATCCCCTTGTTTACTGACACCATAATGTGATGGTCACTCATTACATTCCCTCTCTGTCTACTGACACCATAATGTGATGGGTCACTCTTTTCAATCCCTCTCTGTCTACTGACACCATAATGTGATGGTCACTCTGTACAACCCCTCTCTGTCTACTGACACCATAATGTGATGGTCACTCTTTACAATCCCTCTCTGTCTACTGACCCCATAATGTGATGGTCACTCTTTACAACCCCTCTCTGTCTACTGACACCATAATGTGATGGTCACTGTTTACAATCCCTCTCTGTTCACTGACACCATAATGTGATGGGTCACTCTTTACAACCCCTGTCTACTGAAACCATAATGTGATGGTCACTCTTTACAATCCCTCTCTGTCTACTGACACTATAATGTGATGGGTCACTTTTACAATCCCTCTCTGTCTACTGGCACCATAATGTGATGGTCACTCTTTACAGTCCCTCTCTGTCTACTGACACCATCATGTGATGGGTTACTCTTTACAATCCCTCTCTGTCTACTGACACCATAATGTGATGGGTCACTCTTTACAACCCCTCTCTGTCTACTGACACCATAATGTTATGGGTCACATTTTACAATCCTTCTCTGTCTACTGACACCATAATGTGATGGGTCACTTTTTACAATCCTTCCCTGTCAACTGACACCATAATGTGATGGGTCACTCTTTACAATCCCTCTCTGTCTACTGACACCATCATGTGATGGGTTACTCTTTACAATACCTCTCTGTCTACTGACACCATAATGTGATGGGTCACTCTTTACATTCCCTCTCTGTCTACTGACACCATAATGTGATGGTCACTCTTTACAATCCCTCTCTGTCTACTGACACCATAATGTGATAGGTCACTCTTTACAATCCCTCTCTGTCTACTAACACCATAATGTGATGGGTCACTCTTTACAATCCCTCTCTGTCTACTGACACCATAATGTGATGGGTTACTCTTTACAATCCCTCTCTGTATTCTGACACCATAATGTGACAGGTCACTCTTTACAATCCCTCTCTGTCTACTGACACCATAATGTGATTGGTCACTCTTTACAACCCCTCTCTGTCTATTGACACCATAATGTGATGGCTACTCTTTACAATCCCTCCCTGCCTCCTGATACCATAATGTGATGGTCACTCTTTACACTCCCCCTGTCTACTGACACTCTAATGTGATGGGTCACTCTTTACAATCCCCCTGTCTACTGACACCATAATGTGATGGGTCACTCTTTACAACCCCTCTCTGTCTATTGACACCATAATGTGATGGCTACTCTTTACAATCCCTCCCTGCCTACTGATACCATAATGTGATGGTCACTCTTTACAATCCCCCTGTCTACTGACACTCTAATGTGATGGGTCACTCTTTACAATCCCCCTGTCTACTGACACCATAATGTGATGGTCACTCTTTACAATCCCCCTGTCTACTGACACCATAATGTGATGGTCACTCTTTACAATCCCCCTGTCTACTGACACTCAATCCTTCTCTGTCTACTGACACCATAATGTGATGGTTACTCTTTACAGTCCCTCTCTGTCTACTGACACAATAATGTGATGGTTAATCTTTACATTCCCTCTCTGTCTACTGATACCATAATGTGATGGGTCACTTTTTACAATCCCCTTGTCTACTGACACCAAAATGTGATGGTCACTCATTACATTCCATCTCTGTCTACTGACACCATAATGTGATGGTCACTCTTTACAACCCCTCTCTGTCTACTGACACCATAATGTGATGGTCACTCTTTACAATCCCTCTCTGTCTACTGACACCATAATGTGATGGTCACTCTTTACAATCCCTCTCTGTCTACTGACACCATAATGTGATGGGTCACTTTTTAAAATCCCTCTCTGTCTACTGACACCATAATGTGATGGTTACTCTTTACAGTCCCTCTCTGTCTACTGACACCATAATGTGATGGGTCACTCTTTACAATCCCTCTCTGTCTACTGACACCATAATGTGATGGGTCACTCTTTACATTCCCTCTCTGTCTACTGACACCATAAGGTGATGGGTCATTTTTTACATTCCCTCTCTGTCTACTGACACCATAATGTGATGGTCACTCTTAACAACCCTTTTCTGTCTACTGACACCATAATGCGATGGTTACTCTTTACAGTCCCTCTCTGTCTACTGACACCATAATGTGATGGGCCACTCTTTACAACCCCTCTCTGTCTACTGACACCATAATGTGATGGGTCCCTTTTTACAATCCCTCTCTGTCTACTGACACCATAATGTGATGGGTCACTCTTCACATTCCCTCTCTGTCTACTGACACCATAATGTATGGGTCACTTTTTACAATCCTTCTCTGTCTACTGACACCATAATGTGATGGGCACTCTTAACAACCCTTTTCTGTCTACTGACACCATAATGTGATGGTTACTCTTTACAGTCCCTCTCTGTCTACTGACACCATAATGTGATGGGTCACTCTTTATAACCCCTCTCTATCTACTGACACCATAATGTGATGGTTACTCTTTACAGTCCCTCTC